CCAGTAGGATGCCTAACTTCCAGAACATTGCAAAATAATTTATGAAAATGAAGTGAAGGTTGTATCCACTTCATACTTCGTTTCCATTAAATTGGATTATTACTGCATTTTATACCAAAAAGCATCCATTAATAGACCATATTCCTAGATTAACCTCACTCCTCTTCATGTTTTTTTTAAAAAATATGATGGAGTGTTGTTTGCATTCTACATGATGAGACAGAATCCTCCTTAGCAAACGTCTTCAGTCTTTACTCTTTACAGACCAATTTAAAAAACCCAAAAGCCTTGGAACCATAGTATTTCTGAATACTAAGATATTGAAAGTCAAGAAGAAAACACAAAAGCCTTCTCCATTTAACAAGCTGCATTGCGTCTGTTTTCTCCCTGGTTTCTTAGCTGAACTTTTCCAAYATTTCAAAATTTTATTTTCCAATGTCATGACAGGAGTCACAGTACACAATCTGTGTACTTCATCATGGGTTTTCTTTCTAATCTGACTGTATTCCAACACGCTGCCATGTTAATTAGATGTTTGACCACCTTTCCTTGGGATAGGCCTAAGATATCCACAGTATGTCCTTTTGAAAAAGGCAAAAAGATAAGCAGAGTAATTTTAAGCCTTTTCATATTTACAGGTACATTCCCAGCACTTTGGCCATCATGTCTTTTTTTTAATGGGAGTGTGATGGTTGAAACGGCTGGAATGTGTCTGTGAGTAATCAATGCCTCAAAATGCTGGGGCTTATCTGCAAGCCTTGCTCRAAGGTGTGCACTTAGTACTTGGAATCTCTCAAAGACATGTTAACGTTCATCCCCTCAAAAGTACATTTTAGACCGGCTGGTCCCGTACACCGTACAGAATGTGTATTACTTTCTGCATGAGGTAATGGGCAGTGCTGTTATAAGATATTCTTAATAACTGTTCTTACGTAAGAGAAATAGATGTGTCCTGTTATATGTGCTTGAGTAAGAATTCAGGGCTAGAAYGAAACTGTAGCCAGAGAAGAAGGCGCTTTTAGGATAAATGTGCTAGTTGAGGTGCTGCTTCCTACTCAGGCAAGCAGCACAAGGTTGCTGGTGTGTGTACATATATATACATATCCTCTCCCCAGTTCAGGCATTATTTTTTAATATTTCCATCTGAGCAGTCCTTACTTTCTCTCATAGACCTTCTATGCTGTGTCTATGCTTATAAAAATCCCTTTCCCCCTGCTAACAAATTAACACGAAATTTGAAATTTTACAGTCTCCTTTGTTATTGCATGTAATAAATGTTCTGTGGCTTTAACATATTCCGGTATGGGTACCTGAAGAATTCAGTCTTCTTCCTTCAGAGGATCAGCTGTGTTGAATAACGGCTCTATTTTCTCCCCTTCGCTTTCCCATCGTGTCATTATTTGTTATCACAAGCATCAACTTTTTGCTTTTGCAGTATTGAGAAGCCAGAAAGAGAAAGAAATCAGACAGGGATTATTGGAGAAGCTAAAACACTTCATACTTTCAATCATCTGGTTTTAAGGGCTTCTTTTAATTTTAAAAATAATGCCTCCCTTGCAAGAGATGGAGTATCCATGTTTTCTTCTGACTACTCTGGAGCACAAATTGCTGAGCAGTGTCAAACTTCTGTGTGTTTTACCAATACTCTTCAGTCAGTCCAGGTGCCAGTAGCATGCATACATAAACCAGAGCACTGGAAGTGCTTTCACTTGGCTGATGATGGCTATGCGCATTCAGACTGGTGCAAGCRCTGATTTGGATGGTTGATTACATACATATGCATATCCTGAGAAAAAACAATGCAGCATAACTGGTCCTAAATCACTGGTRTGTTYCAGAGTAAGTGGCAGTAATCAGGAGCTTGCCAGCTTCTCCTCTGGGTGATGGGATGTTCCCCACAAGCACCAGGGGCCCTGTCACTATCCTGTGCAGATCTCCTAGCTTGTCAATATATTAAACTTCAGTGTGGGTTGTGAAATTTGCTTTCCCACCACCAGAGGTTTTTTTGTTMAGTCTGTCTTTTCCCTAGAATTTAGTCCAGATGCAGCTGACATAAACTGGTCCTGTGTAGACTTGAAGGACCGTTCAGGAACCCATCTGATATCAAGACAGATGTCAATGACTTTTCAAATACATCACCTGAAGGCTGCTTTTAAGAAATTAAAAACTTTGTGTTCCTATAGGATCCCTAGAATAATTCACATAGGAACCACATGAGTCATCTTCCCCAATATTTTCCAGCACATAATGGATAAGATGAGGCAGATTGTATTTTCTCTGACCAGTAAGAGTAATGAAGTCCCATCTGGTATGTTGATCCTGCTGAAATCTTTGATGAGGGGAGGAAAAAGAGGAGTTAACCCCCGCTAAGGTCAGCTCATGAAGCTTCCTTTCTGCCTTTCCATGAGGTTTTCTCTGAGTTATTTCTACTAAGCGAAGTGTAAAACATAGTAAATGTAAAAGGTAAAATGTAAGGAGTAAAATGGGAAGAAATGGAAATGGAAAGAGTCTTTACAATGGTGATAGTAATTGAGAGGACAAACTGTGCTTCCTATCAGCTTAAGGCTTTGTTTGGCTTTTCTGGCAGCTGTATCTTCCGCGGGTTAAATAGTGCACAWCTGTAGAGTAAATGCACTCATTGATGGTGTAGCTCCTATCCAAGCTTCCGAGTAGAATAAGGTTAGAAAAAGGTTAGGAAATTAAAGTAGTAAAATGRCATGCATTTGAAAATTAAATTATGTGATTCTCTCCACTGTTCTCCAGCAAGTAAAAAACTTTCTATCTCCCTGTAGGTGCTGTGGGGTACCTTACCACCCTTATCACAGAATGCATATGTAAAATGACAGATCTTCACATCTTTAGATGTATTTGATCTTCCCCTCCCTGATTAGTCCTGGAAAAGAGAGTGAATTAATAACTAAATAAGCTCTAGAGGACAGGCCACTTTTTTATTCGTATTCAAAATGGGGCGCTCATTTGCCAGAAATTAATAGACAACTTCAAGAACTGAAGGTGTGAGGGAGCTCTTAGAATCACTGAGTCCTGCTTACTTCACCTTCCTGATGCAGCAGCACAATTCCTGTTTTTCTGGGCACTGAGCTGTGCTGAAGCCCATCAACCTGTTGGTGCACAGGAGGACAGGACAAGTGGTGGCTCTTGAGTGGCATTCAGATGTGAATTCTCCATTGTCAAAGCACATTCAGGCCGTGCTGGCCGAGACAGTGAGAGGTTTACATTGTTAATCAACTACACCGTATCCATGTAGGTAGAGCCAAGAGGAGTCTGGCCAATGAGCTAGATGTGAAATAATTAAAATTTACTGAGTGGTTTAGATTTAGTTAGTTAGAGTGCTTTTCTTGTCTGATTTTTGAAGGCAAGTTGTTTATCCAACTGAAGCGGTTTAAGATACAGCAAGGAGTATTGACATCAGCAGMGATCAATGAAGGACGAAGAGGTCTATTTAATCTAGGAAATGAGTGACTTGGCTCTTTGATCCTATTGCATTCTTGTATTCCCAGAAGGTTAAATTTAGTCCTGCATACACAAATTCTGTTTGACTAAGTTTACTTAGGTTTTAAATATTTGTGGGTTTCTTTTGTTTAGGTTCTCTTGTATAACAAGAAAAAAAACCTACTGTTACCACATAATTAGGCTGTTGCTGTGTAAGCATGKGCAGCTCTTCTCAAACTTGAGAGCAGAATATGCAAATTAAAACCCAAACATACTTCTTTAAACTTTCATACTGTATAAAAGAGAAAAAAAAGAATAGGAAAACRCCCTCTGACCGATTGTATACAAACCAGCCTCTGAAGCGGCATAGGAAAATGGCTCAAATTTGTATTACCTAGAAATAAGTCTTGTTTGGCTCATGTTGCCTGCAATACTTCCATTTTCCAGAAGGAAACCTGGTGCAGCCTAATGTAAAGGTGCACATTTGGTTCAAGATGTAAAAATGTAAGCCTTAAAGAACATGAGAACAAGGCTGGTTTTCTAACGTACTGAAAGACAGTATCAGAAAAATTCTCATAATCSCTTAGTCTAGGAAGGTTTGTTGCTTTGGTGTAAAATAAACAGAAATCAAAGTGTGAGGGTGTTTTTATTATTTATCTGTACTTCAGCAAGCCATAGCAGGTGCTAGCATGAGATGAGCTTTGGTGCTTCTTGCCACAGACGCACTTCACCGTGTGTCATCAACCACGAGTTTTAAAAGGGCCTGGATTGAAATATTCCTTATGACACAGAAAATAGAATGGRAAAACCAGGGAGAGAAAGGAAGTCCCATCAGAGAGGCAATAGTGCAGCTCTTGCTTCCTTCCACATCCCTCGGCCCTCAGTCGCTGCCACGCTCCCCCTCCTCCGTGCGCGACYCGGGCCGAGCTCAGCCGGGCCGGAGCAGGGCAGTCCGGAGCTTCGCCCCAAGTCCGCACTGTCCTTGTGGCTTTTATTTTTATATTTATTTTTTCAATACCCCCTGCCTCGGGCGGAACGGGGGGCGCTCCAGGGGGCGAGGGTGGGTCGCGCTGGTGGGAGCAGCGCCCGGTGCCAGGGCAGCACCGCAGCCGCTCC